GGGGGGGCAGGGACTCCGAGGGGGCTTACGGATGATTCTACCCTCTCCAGAAGCCCCCAAAGTCCGCTGGTAACCCTGCATGGGCCCCCAATGATTCCGGGTAAGGCCGAGGCCTGCTCTGCTTCCTTTCCCCACCTAATCTGGGTAAAATGATCTTGGAAACCCTAGATCGGGCCTGGAAATGGAGCCCGAGCGTCCTTGCTCCCAAAACACCCACAAGCGGGCCACAAAGCCCGGACTAACCCCCCTACCTCAGGGGCTCAACCAGGCCTTCCCCTCCAGGGAACCTGCAGGCCGCCCGAGCTCCTACCCCGCCTGTAGGGCCCATCCTCGGCCCAGGATCCCTCGGCGAACCTTGCAACCCGCTCGGCCGCCCGCGAGAGGTTCTTGAGACCCCGCCTCTTTCTCCAGGGGGGGCCTCTCCCCACTGCCCCTCCCGGGTCTGGCTACCGCGCTCACCATGACTGAGCCCGGCCGGGGGAGGGTCCCCCCGGCCCCCTTCCTGCGCTCTCCGGGCCGCCGGCCGGGGCAGGGGGGCCCAACTGTTGCCGCTACGGCCCTGACGAGGCCCCAGCGGCCCCACTCCGCTCCCCGCTGCCTCCGACGCCCGCAGCGTACACCACCTAGAGCTTCGCCTCCCCCAAGTGCCCGGCCGCACTGAGCCGGTCGCGCGCGCACCACCACCCTTTTATATCCGCCCATAGACCACGCCCCCTTGCGGCCACGAAGCGCCGCACCTCGACCCGTGATGTCAGCACGCACGGTCCTCAGCATTCGACGCGCTCGCCCCTTTTCCGCAAGCTTCGAACAGAAGGTGAAGTTGAGGAGGGGGCGTGCGGCGGACCGGCCATTGGGGCAGTGCAGGGGTCAGCATAGGGGACCCCAGAGTATGGAAGGGCTGAGAAGGGACAGAGAGGTGAAAAATAAAAAAACGCGAGAGGCGACGCGACCGCTGATTGGCTCGTTTGAATGAGACGCCACCACGGCCTGGCGTACGCGCGCGCCCCCTTACGCTCAGGAGATCGCGCACGCGACTAACGGTCGGCCGGGGAGTTTGGGGCGAGGGGAGGCGGGACTTGGAGGATTTAAACGGATGATGGAAGGCGCTGTGGCCAATAGGAACGCACAATCGTGGGATGTCGTCCTGAGACTCGCAGGGCCAATCCTTGCCTGAGAAGGCAGTGCGCGGGGTGGGTGGGGGAGGGAGGACCTAAAACGACCAATGGGAGCCTGCTTAGTGCAATGAAAGTCGCTCACAGCCAAAGAAATTCGTTGGTTTTGTATATGCAAATGAAGTGTGCGCGGAGGGGCGGCCAGCTCACCCTCCTCAGGCCGTGATGTGGAGGGTGGCCGAGAGTAGGTCTACGTTTTTCCTCGAAGCGCCATTTTGATTGGGAATGACCTGTGACCTGTGTTTGATGTTGTGGAGGTTCCAAGACCAATCAAATCAGTGCGGCCTTGACAGCTTGTTCGCTTGGTCCTCAGATATGTGACCCCTGACCCTGGCGAGGCCTCAGTCGTGACGCGGGTCTCAGTTTCTTCACGTGGGAAGTGGGCTTTGGGATCCCTCGTGAAACTCGAGAAAGAAGAGGGAAGCGTCCCCTGGCCCTTTAGAGGGTCATGGCTCCGTCTGGGACTGACCCACGGCCTCTAGCCTTCAGACCTTCGCTGGGACTCGCCTTCTCTTTCTGGGGAGTGGACACACATTTGCTGGGAAAAGGGAGCTGCTCCAGGCCTCAGAAAATGGGCCGGTAGTGGCCTGGAAACAGAGGCCTGTATCGATGCCAAGAAATGAGGAAGCCCAGAGGCAGAAGTGGCCATGCTGGCTCATCTGTACCTTGTGGCTGCGGTACCCATCTCAGAGCCTCTCAGCTCAGCAAAGTGGAGTCCAGCTTGGCCATAGTGTCCTGAAAAGACCCCCAGCTACCAGCTTTCCCTCATGGGAAAAAGAGGCAGGAAGGTGTAAAAGACATCCACAGAGTAATAGTCATAGTGATCACTCGGGTTTGTGGAGGCTTGAGCATGCAGGCATCTCCCACAACTGATCTTCAGTCTTACCCTGCCAGGTTCAAGTGATTTTGACCTATTCAACAGATGGTACACTGAAGGATGAGCGGGATCGAATGACTTGCCCAGGCCCCAGCCCAGCCTGGACAAGGCAAAGGTGGCAGTCAAACTGAGCTCTAGCTCAAAAACCCACCCAACAGACTTAATAACTATGATGATAATAAAGGCTGTTGTTTATTACATGGTGTGTGCCAGGCCTTGTTCTAGTCCCTTGCATGCTTGAGTTCAGGTAACTCTTACAATATCCCTGATGGATAGCTTATGGTTCCCCTCTGGACACCTGCATTCATTCAATAAACTTCTTTTGAGCACCTAAGCTATGGCAGGCAGGAAGATACGGCAGAGAATCAAAAGGACAAAACTCCTGTGTTCATGGAGCTTCTATCCTCATGCAGGAGTCAGACAGCAGGCAAGGAAGTATATACCATCACATGGGTGAATGATAAAGACTGGAGAATGGATAAGCCAAGGTTGGAGCATAGAGTGGGAGGGCGAGGCTGCTACTTGACCTTGGCTGGGCAGGGAAGACCTCTCTGAAGAAGAGTCATCTGGGCTGCAAGAAGGTCTCCGGGCAAAAGAATTCCAAGAAAAGGGAACAGTACGTGCAAAGACCCAGGAAGAGGATTGTGTTTGATGTGTTTGGGGCACCCCCACGCAGCCAGCCAGACCAGGTCAGAGTGAGCTGGGCAGGTGGAGGGCATTGAGGTCAGACAGATAAGAGGGAGTGGCAGTTATGTCACCCACCTGGGCTGCGGTGAGTGGTGTGTTCTTTTCAAGCACTGGGGAGCGGTGGAGCCTTTGATGGTGTGGCTCTGACTTATGGGCAGGAACGGAGGCCAGTGAGGAGGTAATCGCAGCCTTCCAGGTGGTGATGCCGACCTGTCCAACAGTTTGGTGGCAATGAGGATGAGAGAGGCAATGGGGTTGGGTGAAGTCAACGGTAATTGGTGTTAGGCCGGACCTGGTGTGAGAGAGAGGTAAGGGATAGTCTACACCCTGAACAATCGAAAACTGGGGTCAGCAAACCTTCTCAATAAAGGTTTTTGTCTTTGCAGTCCATCAGTCTCTGTCCCAACCTACTCAGCTCTGCTTCTGTAGATGATATGCAGACAGGAGGGGCAACTTTGTTCCAATCAGACTTTGTTTCAGAAACAGGCCTTAGCTGGAGTTGACCCTCAAGGACGCTGTCATTTACCTACCCCTGAAATTCCAGTGTGCCCCACCCTTGCTAAAAACCTTTCAGGAGCCCCCACCCAACACTTCATTTTGACTCAATCCCAAATTCTCATGAGGTCTATCAGCACACTTTCCCTGAGGCCCCCTCAGCCTTCTTTCTGTCTGCTCCTCGTATAAGCCAAGCTCTTTCTTACATGAAGACATTCACAAGTGAATCCCCTGTACCTAGAAAGCTTTCTACCCCCTTTTCTGTCCTCCTTGTGGCCTAGGGTTATCTTAAAATGTCACCTCATAGATCAGGAGGTGAGCTCTAGCCCTCCTCTCACCTGCTCTCCCATGCTCTGTTCATTTCACCCTCTTTGATCTTCATGGTCTATCAGAATTTATAATTTACTTACATGTTTGTCTCTGCCTCCCTGACTAGATCAGACCCAGGAGAGCAGGAACTCTGTCCTCAGCCCCTAGTGGAGTGCCTGACAGATTGAAGGTGTTCATTCAACATATTGTATGTTTTCATTTGTATGAAATGTCCAGAATAGTCAAATCCATACAGACAGACTAGTGATTACCTAGGGCTGGGGGGTTGGGAGATAGGGAAGTGATGGTTAATGGGTATAGATTTTCTTTTTGAGGTGATGAAAATGTTCTAAAATAGACTGTAGTGATGGTTACACTACTCTGAATATACTAAAAACCACTGATGTACACTTTAAATTGATGAGTTGTATGTATGCTTTGTAAGTTTTATCTTAATGAAACTTTTTTAAAAAAATTGAAAAGAAAAACTATGATGGAAGTAACTGAAAAGCGGTCAGAGAGGTGGGGGAAGAGAGAGATGGGAAGGAAGAATGTACCAAGTTGGCAGAGATGGGCATAGAGGAGACAAGAGGAAGAGCTCGATGGAGCCCTAGGGAGCCAGTGAGGAATTGTGACTAGAAGGTGTGAGTGAATTTGAAACTCACAGTGACACTCTAGCTCAGGGCTGCTGGGTAGAGACTGGAATGGCGGCCCACGTGGAAGCAGAGAATCCAGTAGTGAGTTGATTATGACTTGGGCTGGACTAGTGGATGAGATGGTCAGAGAGAAAGGGGTGGGTTTGAGAACTAGTCAGGTGGTGACCTAGCAATGGGCCTGGGCCGTCTGAGTTAGTTGGGGTGACTGGAATTGGCAAGGGATAGGTGAAGGGGTTGGGGAGGGAAAAGGTACCCTTTTGCTGAATATTGGTGACTCAGAAACTTTTGTACAATGAAACCCAAATAATCCCTTAGGCTGGAATTCTAGCTTCAGAAGTTAATCTTCATTTCTTCTGTTCATCTCTATTAAATTACAAATAAATACATGACTGGAGAGACAGTCACATGGTTACTGAAGTGCCAGAAGTAAAAGCAGGAGGTGAGCTCTAGCCCTCCTTCACCTGCCACATGCACCACTCCCCCGCTTTCCCCCCAGGTACCTGCCGGTATCATCCAACAACCAAGGTGTCCTCCTCCTCACACTTCCTGGGCATTTACATAGAGATGCATTTGTCCACATCCCCACACATTCTCCCTTGGCAGTGCAAGTAGATCAGAGGCTGTACAGCATTCTTCGACGAGAACATACCAGAGTTTCTAGTAGTCTCGGAGGCATTTCTGCAGGGTTCGGTCTATGGCTAGAAGCTGCCTAGAGCACTCACAAAGTTTATCTTTGAGCTTTTCTGGAGGAGAAATTCCTAGAGAAATTCTTAGAAGTGGAGTTGCAGGATCAAAGGGCATGTGTGTTTGCGATTCTGCCAAGTGGCTTTTGGGAGGGTTCTAGTTATTTGCATCCCTCCCATCAGGATCTGACCTGTTCATTCAACAAGTATTTATTTAGCACCAAGTGCCAGGCACTATTCTAGGTGCTTGGCAAACATCAGTGACCAAGACAGGAAGCAAATCACCTGGTTCTTGGGGTTTCATTCTGGTGGTGAGAAAGATGATGAACAAGAAGCTCAAAGACCAGAATGGCCAACCATCCAGGGGTTCCAAACATGCAGGACTTTCAGTATCACACTGGGAACATTCCAGGTGAGTAGGTGAGAGAGTAACTAATATCCAAAGATATTAGTTACTACAGAATTGCAGCAGGGCAAAGGGGTTGTAGATGGGTGGTCAAAGTGGACCTTCATTGATAAGGAGACATGTGAATTAAGATTTAAAGGAGGCGAGGGAGCAAATCTTGTGGAACTCCAAAGAAAACCGTTCCAGGCAGAGGAAGCAGGAGTGTCAGTGTGCTGATTCAGGAATGAGCCCGAATCTTAACAGTCTTCAACTTATGAGGCAAACAAAGTGGCCTTGCTGTTTCCCCGCATTTCCTCTCTTCCTGGTGCATCTGGGCATCTTTTCATGTGTTAAGCGCCTCCATCTTCATTTCTGAGTCCAGTATCTGTGGTCACTAGCAGATCTTCTGCCCCTAGTGGCTTAAATATTTCTAAGTGTGTCATCTGAACACAATGTGGCAGGTAGCTGTAACAAGAACTATTTTCCTTAGTGCCTGGTGAGCAGGGGTTAGAGTTTTCCTGGGTGGGATGGATCAGGTGCTCCCTCTAGTGACAGAAACACCAGTGATGAACCACAGGCTCTCATCCCCATTCCACAAACCCTAGAACGCTGTCAGAGACTTTGTGTTGGATAAAAACACATTTTAGTGCACAGGGGCTTCCTTTAATGGCTATAAAACTGACACCTCTGATGTATGTTAAGCAGAATAACACCCGATGCTGGTGAGAGTGCGAGCAAACGGATGTTCTCACATATGTAGACTTAGCAAAGCTCTTGGGATGGCAACTTGGCATTGTGGAGCAAGTATTCAAAATGCACCTGCCCTCCGACATAGACGGTTACCTGGGAGCTCATTCCAGGGAAAAGTAGGTGAAAGCCCCATGTGGTATGCACAAAGATGCTCCTCAAAGGATCATTTATAGTAGTAAAGAACAGGGAAAACCCAAATGTCTAGTGGCAGGGACTGGGGAAAAATTATGCTGTATCCAGAGCATAGAATATTCTATAGCCATTGGAAATTATGGTGACTTTGTTGTTGGAATGACTGGTGTCTCAAAGAATCTAATGGAAGGTCCTAGATCTTCCTTGCCCAAAGCACATGCAAGTGCTAACTAGTAAGTGCCAGAGGAATGATGAAGTTAGAAAACATCATTTGGCAAACACCATAATAATTGAGTCAGGCAAGAGAATCATGTATGGAGGCTCGAAGCAGCAGGTGAAAGTTTGAGGAGGAGCAAGATGTCTATGTGGTGTCATCATATCTCCAGGCAAGGTACTTCCTAATTACAGAGGTCCCACATCACTGATGTGCTGTCAAGTCACTGTCCCTTTTGTGGTTCTCCTGCCAGACACATAGAGCCTCATATCTAATCACGAGGAAACATCATACTCAATTTCAGGGATGTTCTACACAGCGGCCTGTCTGGACTCTTTTAGAGCACCAATGTCATGAAGAAGATGAAGGGACTGTTTACATTGAAAGAGACTTGAGAGACACAATATAACCAGATGCAGCACTGAATGCCAGAATAGTGGGGACTGAAAAGAAAATTGCCTTCAAGGACAGTAGTGAGATGGACTTGATCAATGTTAAGTTCTTGCCTTTGGTAATTATCCTGTGGCTGAGTAAGAGAATGTCCTTGTTCTTTAGAAATATCCATTAGGGGTACAAGGATATGATGTATGCAACTTGCCCTCAAATGCTTCTGAAAAAAAGAGACTTTACATGAAAAGAAAACCATAAAGCAGTGTGATGAAATGTTAACAACTGATGAATTGGCAAAATCTTTGACTTATTCTTGTAACTGTTCTGCAAGTATGGAATTATTTCAAAATATAGAGCTAAAAAGAACTGGAAAATAAAAGCAGTAAACACAACATCTGGTGCAGATTTCAGAAGTTCTCAATCTCGCCCTGCTTAAGAATAGCTGCTCCAAGGCTGTGTTTATTGACACAACATAGTTGCAAATCGAGCAAGTGTTAGGTTACAGCACACAAATGCTTCTGTCAAATCTCCTCTTTGACTTGTCCAAGCAGAATACAGTATATGTGGATCAAGTTGCTTTTTTCTTGGTTAAACATAAATGAAGTGGTTGACTGGAATGCAGAGGCCACATTGAATAAAAATTACACACATTTAAGCTCTGGCATGACAACTCAGAGTGGGGCGCTGATTCCCCTACATGGGAGAGGAATGAGACACAAATTGTCCATCTCACACCTATTGCAGAGCATATGCCCCATGAAGGGAATGGTTGTCAAAGCCTGCATCATTTACATTTTTAAAAAATGATAACACAAAAATTTGGAAGTGCAAAAGACTATATAGTAAAGACAAAATGAATAAAAGATAAGAAAAAAAGAAGAAAACAACAAAAAGAACAAACAGAAAAAGGGAAGGACGTGGTTCCATAGCGTAGCGGTTAGCACGTTTGCTTTACATGCAGAAGATCCTGGGTTCGCGCCCCAGTGGAGCCACAGTCCATGGTCTATGGCCGTGCCACCCTGAACAAGCCCAATGTCTGATCTCGGAAGCTAAGCAGGGTCGGGCCTGGTTAGTATTTGGATAGAAGACCACCTAGGAAGACCAGGTGCTGTAGGCATAAATAATAATAATAAATTAAAAAAAAAAAAAGAAAAAAGAAGACTATATAGTGAAAAGCCCCCAGCCAGCCAGTTCCCCTTTCCCCAGGCAGTAGCATCAGCTAAAACAGGCTAAACTCTCCTGCAGTGACAGGCGGCCCCCAAGCACCAGTTGTTAAAGCAGCATATGTTTGTCTCTCTCCTACTACATGTTCATTGAGGGTTGGCTTGGCTTAGGCCCCTACTTGGCATCATCTTTCTCTAGGATGTGTGTAGGATCCAGGCTGGAAAGAGTAGCCCTTACCTGAGATACTGTCAGTGACGTGGGGAAGCAGAGGAGCATGGGGATCCACACACTGGCTGTTGGAAGCTTCCACCAGGAAAAGCACTTCTGCTCACACTTCTAGCACATCCCATAGGCACTTCCAGGGGGCAAGAAGTGCCATCCCTACTCCAGGAGGAGCACCTCTGAGTGCTCAGGGAACCCTATTCAGACACACTGCATCACCACCCTTCTCCCCATCCACACCCAATGATCTGCGGACAAAGACTCCAATGCAAAGAAAAGAATTCTAAGAATATACAAACAGCTGTCATATTCACCTAGGGGGCATTTTATGGAGGATTACAACCCAAATACTTGAATAACCCCCACACCTCCCATTGCCCCATTAATCTATAGCCAAGCAAACGAACCTGAGAAGATGAAATCCAGCCAATGGTGCACTGAGGGGAGGAGGCTTTTCCCAACACACATTTTTCTCCAAAGAGCGCTTCCTGGCATGGGCTGGTCAGATTTTATATGTCCATTTGGTCAACCTATGGTGCCCAGTCATTGGGTCAAACCCCAATATGGGTGTTGCTGTGAAGGTGTTTTGTAGACATGTTTAACATCTACAATCAGTTGACTTCCAAGTAAAGGAGATGATTCTAAATCATGTGGTGGGCCTCATCCAATCAGTTCAAGCCATAAGAGCAAAAGCTGAGGTTCCTCAGAAAGGAAGAAATTCTGCCTCAAGAATGCAGCAAATAAGGCCGCCTGAGTTTCCAGCCTGCCTGCCTGCTGGATTCTCCAGTCCTTGCACTTGCATGAGCCAGTTTCTTAAAATGAGTCTACACACACACGCACACATACACACACACACACACACTCTCTCTCTCTCTATTCTAGTTCTCTGGAGAACCCTAATATGGAATAAAATCTAATATTTGAGAAGCAAACACTCAAATATACTAGAGAGGAAGGGGTTTTCATAACGATTCAATCAATACAGTGTCTTAAAATGAGACTACACACACACGCACACATACACACACACACACACACACTCTCTCTCTCTATTCTAGTTCTCTGGAGAACCCTAATATGGAATAAAATCTAATATTTGAGAAGCAAACACTCAAATATACTAGAGAGGAAGGGGTTTTCATAACGATTCAATCAATACTGAAAGGCACTGCACACACAAACCACACCCAGAGGGATGTGCAAAGGAAAGCTTAGATGCATGGTGAAAGTCTACCATTCATAAACACACAGTTAGATAGCCCTAGGGGAGGGTTCCCCTAAGGTTCACAGAGCCAAGCCTATGGTCACCTCCTGAGAAGGGGGGAGGGGCAACTCTGGTCAGCACTAAATAAATACTCTTCTGCAGTGGGTGGGAGAAGAGAGGTGGGGAAAATGCTTCCTAGTTAGCATAAAAACTGATACTTAATTGGACTGTACCCTGTCACACCCCCTGTTGTGGGCTGAATTGTGCCCCCCAAAGGACGATGAAGTCCTAACCTCCAGAACCTGTGAATGTGCCCTTATTTGGAAATGGCATCTTTGTGGCCGACAGAGTTAAGACTAGGTGGGTTGGGCCGTAATCCCACAGGACTGGTGTTCCTATAGAACAAGAAATTTGGGCACAGAGAGAGCTGTGTACAGAGGGAAGATGACATATACAGGGATGCCAAACACTACCAGCCTATAAGCTAGGAGAGGCAGGGAACAGATTCTCAGCCCCAGAGGGAACCAGCCCTGTGACACCTTGATCTCAGGCTTCCAGCCTCCGGAGTGTGCTTAAGCCACTGTGTGTAGTGCTTTGTTACAGCAGCCCCAAGAAATTATTAGATCCCCAGGTCAAGGATGTTCAGCCAAAGAATTCAAATACAAGGAGGTGAAAACAGATAGAATCTGCCAACGAATGCTTAAATGCTCAGAGGGAAAGCTTTTCTTAGGAGGAAACTGAAGACTTAAAGGCACCTTCCACCCCATGTCTGACTCCTTCCTAGGTGAGGATGCTGGGAGGCAGCCCTGCCCCCTACCTCAGCCACACGGGGACTCCCAGTGACTCATAAACACGGAGGTATAAACTCATTCCTTCCTGACAGTGAACTTGAGACTGGGGATCAGATAAACATCTGTTTATTCCAAAAATACCAACTTGCAGCTCAGCTGGCTGTCCTAACCAAGGAACTGGGGGGATAAGGAGGGAGGCAGAACGGGGGAGGGGCTGCGGGTCCAAAGCTGTTTCTCTTGTCTCTGCACCACCCCCACTGCCAATGACCAGAAGGGCAAGTGTGTGTGTGTGGGTGTGTGTGTGTGTGTGTGTGTGTGTTTATGGAGGGTGAAGGGCAAGTCTCAGGTGGAGGGGTTCCAGCTCCGAAAGCATCCAGGGAGTCTGGCAAGACATGCCCACTTTCTTATCTCCTCAAGACCTCTCCCCACTATGGCTTATTTGAGATAAGAGGTCAAGGCCTCAGGGTCAGGCAGCCTGTGCCTAGTGAGTAGGGGAGGGGTGTGTGAGAGATACCTGGAATCCAGGCTGGAAGAAAGCAAGTTGAGTGAGGCATACAAAAGCTGAAAGACTCCAAGCCCCCTATCTCAGGGTTGGAGAAAGCTGAGTGCTCTGTAGGGGTACTGAGCAGAGAAGCAGGGTCTGGAAAGGGCAGGTGCTCAAGCTAGCTCCTTTTGGGGAAGTCACAATCTGCCCCAGGGACACTGGGCATGAGGTGGCCCTAGAAGGGGTGGAGGGAGCCCACAGGAGCAGCTGTACGCATGGAATTGAACACAGGCACTGGGGCCCAGGTAGATGGGCATAAGCCCCCACTTGCATTCTCTGGTGTTTGTGGGAGCTGAGGGCTGCGTAGGGATGAACTGAGGTGCCAGTATTCAGGGTGGGAGAAACAGAAGAGGGAGGGGGACGGCCCAAAGGAAGGAGAAGAAGCCCCTCCCTCTTGCCCTGGGGGCTGGGGGAGGGGGCATGTAGCCCTTTCAGAGTGGGGGAATGGCCGCCCCCAACATCATGGCTATGTACAAAGAGAACTGGGGGCAAATTGTGCACTGGGTGTTGGAGACTCCCCAGTGTGAGGGGGAAATGAGAGGAGAATGCTGCATCTGATTCTTGGGATGATGCAGGGGATTCCCCTCCCCACAGATGCAGTTGGCAGTGGTGTGGCTTTCCAGGTGTGCCTACCCCAGGAGCTAGCCAGCAGAGGATGTGATCAAAGGTCCCAGGGATGTCATCGGCTGTTGGCCACACCCACAGGAGTCTGAGGAGAGTTTGGCCCAAGCCAATAGAGTGCTGCTCTAGGTGGAGGTCCAGGTAACAGGGATTGGGCAAAGGGCAGTGATGTCACCAGAGGACAGGAAAGCCCCGCTTTGGTGGTGATAAGAGGTCTCCATGTTGACCCTGTCCAGTTATCAGATGCTTGGGTGAAGGGCAGTGAGTTATCAGGAGGGGCCTAGATGCTCTCACCAGGGGGTGGGTAGGGGCTGGCCAAGGTCAAGATTGTGGTGGGATTGATGGAGGCATCAGCCTAAGTCGGGAGTGAGGCAGTGACATCATCAAGAAGGGCCAGAGTGGGGACAGTGTCATCAGAGGGGGCCCCATTCTACTCCATTTTTGAGACAATGGGAAAATGGTATGTATTGTGCTGGATTCCCTTAAAGGAACAACTGTAGTTGCCATGTGACCACAGAAGACAATTATAATACAGCTGTTGTGGTACTTGGCTCCCAAGATGATGGATCCTGAAAGATGATACATGACTGAAATGGATCCTGGTAGATGACCACACCATTGGGTATCCTGGATCCTGGTAGATAATGATACAATTGCATGTTATGGATCCTGGGAGATGGTGATATCATGGTTATGGTGGTTCCTGGCAGATGACACCATCATTGAAATGGATCCTGGGAAGTGATGACATTATTGGGTGTCATGGATCCTGGGAGATGATGCCATGGTTATGGTGGATCTCAGTAGATGATGACACCATGGTTGAAACGGATCCTGGGAGTTGATGACACAAAAGAATATCATGGATCCTAGGAGATGATGACACTATTGGGTGTCCTGAATCATGGAAGATATCATAGTTATGGTAGAGCCTGGTAGGACACCATGGTTGAAATAGATCCTAGGAGGTGATGACACTATTGGGTGTCCTGGATCCTAGAGGTGATGCACGATTATGGTGGCTCCTAGTAGATGATATCATGGTTGAAGTGGACCCTGGGAGATGATGACACAATTGGGTATTCTGGGTCCTAGGACACTACTGACTTTCGTGGATGCTGGGGGGTAGTGTTATCATGGCTGAAGTGGATCCTGGGAGGTGGTGACACTATGGCTATGGTGGATCCTGGGGCATGAAGACATTATGATTGAAATGGATCCTGCAAGTTGATGACACCACGATTATAGGGGACAATGGAAAAGGTGGCATCATCAGTCCTAGTGAATCCTGGTGGAGGATGTTACCATCAGTCACAGTGGAATTGGGAAGGTAATGACATCATTGATCATGGTGAATTCTGGGAGATGACAACAATGTCAGCTATGATGAATCCTGGGGGATGATGATACAATGGTTGTGGTGGGTCCTGGGAGATGACACCATGGTTGTGGAGAATCATGGAAGATGGCAACACAACTAGCTATGAGGAACTTTGGGAGAAGGTGACCCTATAGTCATGGTAAATTCCAGAAGAGGATGATACCGTAGTTGTGGTAGATCCTGGGAGATGAAGACACTGTAGGTCATAGAGAATCCTGGAAATGATGTCATCATCAGGAGTGGTTAGCATTTGACTCCAAGTGCAATGCCATCATGAGTGGTGGAAGTCGTGGCATTGATGATGTCATCAGCAAGACCAATAGCAGGCATACCCCACCCTCCCCCACCCCAACAGGAGGCCAGGACATTGTTGACAGAGGCGATGATGTCTCTAGTTACAGTAGAGAGAAGTGGTTCTGGCCTTTGGGGCACGTACAAGTCCAAGGATTCCAAGAGGCTGGTGGCCAGGGTAGCCTCCTTGAAAGCAGAAGCCAGTCTGAGAGTGCTGTCCTCCAGGAATCATACAGGAGGTGACATCACTGCACAGGGGTGGGACCTGTGCAGAGGCCCAACCTTCCTGTAGAGGGAGCTTCTGGCAGAGATCCTACAGGGCATGTCCCTGGGGTCAGGGGAAGAAGCAACTAAGCTAAGTTATGGTGGGACAAGGCAGAAACTAATGACACCATCACAAGTGATGGCTCACCAGAGTAGGCAGTTTCTCTGGTGATGACATCACCGCATTGGGGTAGAGCCTTGGACAAGGGTAGGGAGTTTGCCAATGACCTACAGACGGACCGTCACCCTTGGGGAGACCTTTCCAGACAGTGCAGCCTCCCCAGTGATCATATCCCTCAGGCGACATCACGATGGGGCACTTTCTCGTGGACTCTGGGCATGCCATGCCTTCTCGTGGTGTGGCAGCAGCAGTGAGGTGTCTTATGGCATCATCTCAGAGCAGGCAGAGTTCGGTGGTGACAACACAGAAGGGCTCTCACCTTTGGTGATGGTCTCCCTGGAAGAGGCATAGTCCCTCTGACGATGTCATAGAGCAAGGCACCTTTTCTGGCAATGGCATCATAGGAAGGAGGCAGAGTTCCTGTGATGATGTCATGCAAAGGAGGCCTTATGTCTAGCAAGGACACACTTGGTGAGGCATTTTCTCCGGTGATGTGTCCTAGCAAGATGGCTTTGTCTGTAGCGACAACATCATAGAGGCATCTTCTCTGGAGGAAAACATTTTCCTGGTGATGAGGATGTCAAAAGAGGCCTTGTGGGGCCAGAGATGACTTTGTAAGGGCGAGACTTTCTGCAGAGATATCACAGGAATCTTTGTCTCTAGGGATGATGTCATAGGACAAAGCGTTGTCTCTCCTATGACATCACAAGAAGGGAGTCTTTGTGATGACATCATGGAACAGACATGGCCTCTAGTGATAACCTCAGGGGTGGGCCTCTTCCTCTGTGATGACGTCATGGGAAGAAGGCCTGGCCTCAAACAGTGCCACAGGAGGGATCTTATCTGCTGTGACATTCTCAGAGGAGGTTTTGTCTCCAGTGACTATTTCATCCAAAGCAGTGGATGTCCTCAGAAGCAGCCCCCTGGGCCACAGGCCAATCTGGGTCCCGGGCCCCTAAAATGTGTCAGGGGATCCAGTCTGGAGCCCACGAGGCCGCAGCTCTCAAGCCCCGGCCCGGCCTCAGACAGTCACCTCATTCTTGCTGGCGGTGCGCAGGTGTTGGGGCAGGTGATGGCCGGGGATGAACTGCAGCTGCTCCAGCGTGCCCTGGCGCTGGAAGGGCGGCCTCCGGGCCAGGGTGCCCCCGCCCCCACCACCGTCCGCCATCCAAGCGAGCTGTGGTGAGCCGTGCAGGGCATGGCGGTGGTGTGCGTGCAGGCCGGGCGGTGGAGGCAGCCCGTGCAGTGGCGTGGGGGGGCCCCCGGGCCCCAGCAGCAGGTTAGAGTGGGAGGCGGCCAGGCCAGCGCGAGAGGCAGGCTCAGGGGGCAGCGCGGGGCTGCGTGGGGGAGACAGCAGGTGCTCTCGGCTCTGGCGCAGGGCCTCGGGAGAGGACAGGAGCAGGTGCTCCTGCGACACAAGGCGCGCACGGGGCAGCGTGAACTCGTAGCGCGACCGGCCCCCGTCGCCCAGCAGGTGCTCCTGGGACATGACCCGCCGTGGGTTGGGAGTGGGGGCCAGGCCAAGTTCCTCGGGGCCGCCCCAGGCATCCATGCGGTAGCCACCCCCTGTGCCAGGTCGCCGCAGCGTGTGCAGGGGCAGCGTCCCGCGGGGCATCTCCCCCAGGTGCCGGTGCTTCAGGTAGGCCTCATCCAGGTCCTTCTCCGCTGGGGAGAAGGGAAAAAGCCACAGAGGTGGGTCCCCAGCCAGCCCAGAACTTTCTCCCTCCCCTGCTTCCTTAAATCTCACCCCTGCGCTGGACCTGCACCCCCGTAGGGACTTCTGTCATCATCCAGAACACTGGTCATTAGCTTGGGCAGGGGCACAATTTTAATAAGTCAGAACAATCAGGCTAGCAATGTGACCAGATACAGATTCCCAGGCCCCTCTTGCTGCGCTGGCTGGGAGATGTGGAGACTTCCTTTATTTTTTGCATGGGGATTTCCCTTCTTTTGGAAGTGGAATCAAACGCTTGTTTTGGAGGAACCACTTTTCCCTCCCTTTCATCCTATGGCAGTGTTTTTCAAATTTGGAGATACGAGTCATACGTGCATTGCGAAGTCAATTTTGTGGGTAGTGACTGGCATTTTGAAAAATGAAATTGCATAGAAAATTCTATTTATCAGAAGGCATCCCCATAATGAGGGGAAAAAGGTACTAGTTTATAAAATTTGTATTTCAGTTATGTGTGTGTTACTGAAATACTAATGTACTGGCATAATACCAGGGACTTGTTTAAAAATAATCTACCAAAAGAGAGATGGAGGGAGGACAGGTGAACAAAATGTTGCTCATTGTTAAAGTTGGAGGATGGGAACATTGGGGTTCATTTTATAATTTTCTCTCCTCTGGGTATGTTTAAAAATGTTCTTTTTTTTTGGTAGAGATAATTTTTATAAAAATTTATTTGAGCCAAACAGAAGATACACCTGGAAGCAAGATCTCAACAGACTGAGATAAATGCTTCTGAAAACATTCTTAATAACTAGTGCCAAAGCTTTCTTGTATTTTAAAAAATACAAATATACATGTTTCTCATGGGTCATAATATAAAAAGCATTTTTTACTGTGGGTCTAAGTTTAAAATGTTTAAAGGACACTTCACTGCCAGAGATGGACCATAGAGCCAGAAATGTCCAATCACAGTCACAGTGATTGGTTTAGGGGTGAGCATGTGACACAATTTGGGCACATGAGACCCAGGCCTGGGATTGTTGACAGCCTGAAATGTCTCAGGTCAGTCTTTGCCATCATGAAGGAAGACTGTCTGAAATGAAGCCAGCCCACTGTTTAGCAGAAGTGAGAGGTGTAGAATCCTGGATCCAGCCATACCTGAAGCTTGTGACCTATAGCCTTTCGAAGATCGAGCTTACTTTAGTTTTGCGTGTGTGTGTGCTTAAGTTATATTTCTATTAATTGTAGTAAAAATCCTGATAAATACAGTAGATTTTGGGGAGAGGGAACACCATGAGTTTGCATTTTAAAAAGGACCCTAGGTAATTCCAATAGAAAATTTCCCTAGGTAATTCTGGAACAAACTCGAAGGAAAAACTAAGGGAGGCTCTAAACCTTTAGAAGTCTGTTGGGCCACTGCCCGCTGTTCACAGTCATGAGCCTTGGCTCTGGCCCTGGCCTCTCCCCTTCCCGGGGACTCACCTAGCCTTTTGAGGGAGGAGTAGCGGTTGAGTTCGGATTTCATGGCGGCCTCATAGGATGGGGGAAGATGCGAGAGGTTGTGGAAGGAACGAGAGCAGGACAGCGTGGAGTAGTGCAAGGAGGGGCTGGGTGGCGGAGCGGCCCTCCAGTCTGGGACAGAGAGACATCGCTGGGGTCAGTCCAGCTTCTGCCTCAGACCCAGAAGTTCAAGTCCCCAGCCTCCTCCCTCAGACCCGGGAGTCCAGGACCCCAGCTTCCTCTTTCAGACCTGGGGGTCCAGGCCCCTAGCCCCTCCTCCCTCAGACCCAGAAGTAAGGCCCCCACCCTCCTCCCTCAGACCCGGGAGACCAGGCCCCCAGCCCCTCCACCTCCCTCAGACCCAAGAATCAGGCCCTCAGCCCCTTAGGGAATTATAAATTGGGAGTTCAGCTCCTCGAAGCTCCAGCAGTCCAGGCTCCCTTTCCTCACTGCACCCATGCCAAGAGATATGCTCTTTGCTGGGGAAGGAGGACATGTAGCAGGAAGAGGAACCATTGGCACTTGTTCAGCCCTGCTCTGTGCCCCACCCCAGGCTGGGGATGCTCTTCATGCATCTTCACACCAACTCAGGTGGAGAGAGATGACTGTTTCTTGTGTCCAAATGGGGAAACCAAGGTTCGCTTGGTTACCTGGCTAGACTTGAGGACAGACTCACAGGGTCTCACACCTGCTCTATCCCCGGCACCTGGCTCAGGCTCAATCAAGGGTGGGAAGGAAAGGAGCCCTGTGGTCCCCAGCTGAGCCCTGGTCCGTACCCAGCGTGGTGGCATGGTGCTTGGGGCTGTTGACATTGAGGTGCAGATAGTTGTGGTGCAGGTTATCTGTGGGGACAAAGAAGGGAGGTAGCATTACTGCCATCACCTGCTCTCAGCTGGCACCTCTGTCCTGGGAGCATCCCCACTCACATCCACTTGGTCCCCCAGCTGTGGTCCCTCCTGCCTCCTGAATCTCTGCCCTGGTCTGCCTCTCCCTCCTGGATCATCAGAGCAGTCTTCTGGCTACCTGGTGAGCTATGTTCAAGATCAGTCCCACCATAGCACTCCTACACTCACCCCCGCCCCTCTGCCGCTCCTCCATACTCTTCTCATATGTTGTCATCACCCATGGGACACAGTCTAAGCTGGCAGTGGCACTTGAGGCCTGAGTGACTTGGCCCCAGCTGCAGTCTCATCTCCTATCCCTCCCCTCAAGCCACCCTTCCCTCTGACCCCTGAAGGGGCCCAGCTCAGTCCTGCCACAGGGCCTTCACACATGCTGTTCTCGCAGCCTTGAATCCCTGCCTCCCCTTCTTTGCTGGAAGAATCCCTACTCATCTCTCCAGATCCATCTCAAACATCTCTTCCTTATTACTGCTGTTCACACCCAGCTCAGGCCTATCCTCTACAGCCTGGGTCACCATCCCAGTCTCCTCCCGAGCCATCTTTTCATCTCTCCCCCTTCACAGGGGATGATTTTCCCCCATTTCTGACTACTCTCAAGTTCTCTGTGGCTCCCCATCACCATCAGGACAAAAGGCAGAGCTCCTCAGCTCAGCCTGGCACTCAAGGTCCTCCAGATGTGTCTGCCCACCCACTCCCTGGCCTCATGAGCTCTGCCCCAGCCACCCAGAGCTTCCCCCAGCCCAAGTTACACCCCTCACCCTCCAGGCCACTGCTTGAACTGCATTTCCTCGGGGAGCCTTCCCCCGCTCATCCTCCTCCTCAGGAGGCGGCCCTTTCAGCCTGTCCCAGCTCCCCAGCTTCTCCATTGACACACTCACTGTGAAATACTACAACAGCTCACATTTACACTGCGCATTTTCTGGGCCAGGCATGGCTCTGAGTACTTGGCTCATTAGTTCATTGGACCGTCACAGCAGCCCTATGAGGGGAGCCATTGTATGCTTCGCATTTTCTAGATGAGGACAGGGACTTGCCCAGGTCACACAGGTGCAGGGCCAAGATGCCAACCCAGACAGTCTGGCTCCAGACAAGTTTTATCTCAATAGTTAGGTGTGTCCTTGTGTGTTGTTGGCTATGGGAGTTTGTCAAATACCAAGGCTGAGAATGTCTAAATCTAAATCACTGTGGTATCCATGGCGCCCACCCAGGGGGTCCACAGGAGGCAGGGAGCAGAGAAGTCTCTCTGTGGAGCCAGGGAGGCTACAGCTGAAGGGGTGGGGGCCTGTGCAATGGGAGGTTGAGCCAACCAGAGAGAATGGGGCTACAGGGATGAGGGCCGTGGTCAGAGGCTGCTGGAGCTTCCAGGTCACACTCACCAAGATTGGAGGGCTTCACGGTGTTGTAGAGGTTCTTGGGCGTCCTGGGGGTCATGCTGTCGGGAACTCCGACCCCTGGGGTCAAGGAGCTGCTTCGTGCCCGGTCTGGACGAGTCCCAGGCCCTGCCTGATGCCTCAGAATGTCCACCAGAGCCCTAGAGGTGGCAGAGAGATGGTCAGTGACCTGGGGACTGGTGGTGGGGGTAGGGAGAGGGAGGGCCCAGGCTTCTTTCCCCTCCTTATTCTTACCTTTTGGGTAATTTGTCAGCTCAGCTCGCCTGGGCTTCTTGTCTTTGGTCATGCCCCTCTCTAATGGTAGTCTGAGCATTGCCTATCCCAGGGTCCCTCAGACACTTCCTGCTTGAAGTGCCCCTTCCCCAATTCATTTGGACCCCACCCTTTCTGTGGTCCTTCCCACACCATCCTCCCTGTGGCCCTGCCCCACCAGGACCTGATGCCTCTAATCCTGTTCCTTTTGCAGCCTTTCCCATGGGGATAGACTGTTATGTAGACCCCAAGCCTTAGAATCACCCTCGACTTCTCTTTCTCTTTCATTGATGCCTCTCAGCAATCTTGTGGATTTGACCTCCAAAATACATCCCAAATGGTACCACTTCTCACCACCCCTGCTGCTCCAGCCCCATCTCTCACCTGGATCATTGGTAGTCTCCTAACTGGTCTCCTGTTTCTACCCTTATCCCTTGCAGTCTAGTCTAACTGCACAGCCTGAGCTCAGGACCCTCTGGTGGCTTCCCCATCGCCCCAGAATAAACCCAGCCTCTGCCTGCTCCTGTCCACCTCCTCATCACCCCTGCTCTACAGCTGCATCAGCCCCTTTGCTGCCCTGCAAACACTCCATCTCAGGGCCTTTGCGCGTGCTGTTCCCTCGGTCTGGAATGCCATTCCCACAGATATCTACTTGTCTTACTCCTTTCCTTCAAGTCTCTACTCAGAGAGGGCTTTGCTGACCACTTCATATAAAACACCACCTCCCAACCTGTTATGCTGCTTCATATTCTCCACAGCATTTATCAATATCTAAAAGTATATTGAATATTTTTTTTTACTTACTGTCTGGACCACCAACATTTATGATAATGGTAGCCAACATTTATTGAGGGCTTACTGTGTGCCAGGGCTCGAGATGAATCAACCCAGTTAATCTTCATTACAGTCTGAATGGGTGGGAAACATTTATTAGTCCCATTGTACAGACCAGAAAATGGAGGCAAAGCGAGGTTCAGAAGCTTGCCTGGGGTCACACAGCCCACAAACAGCAGACCTGGGATTAGAAGCCAGGTTTACCCACCAGGGCCAGGACCTTGTTTTGTTCATTGCTGTATCCCCAGCTCCTGGCCCACAGAAAGTGCTCAAGAAGTATTTATGGAACGAGTGAGGCCTGACACTCAACAGCCAGGCCTTTGGTCTCACGGTGGCTGCCTGACCTCCCCCCTATCCCTGTAGCCCCGCCCAAGTGGCTCCACTTTCTATTGTCCAGGTCCCACCCCCAGACCCCAACCCTCTTGCCCCAGCATGCACACACCTGGGCACGTTGATCTCCCGGTGCGCCCTAGGCGCACGGGACGCCTTGCTGAAGGCCACTTTCGCGCCGACGCCTACAGCCAGGGCGAAGCTGATGACCCCACACACTACATAGGCCGTGCTGCCCCCGGGGCCCTCGCCGCCACGCACCCCAGCGCCCCCTGC